TTTTGAGTTGGAGTCTCACTCTGTCGCCCAGACTGGAGTGCAGTGGTTACTCCCGGCCACTGCAGCCTCGACCTGCTGGGCTCCGGCGATCCTTCCACTTTAGCCTTCCAAGTACTGGAACTACAGGCGCGCGCTACCACACCCGGCTAGTTTTTTTATTTATTGTAGAGAGGAGGTCTTACCAAGTTGCCCAGGCGGGTCTTGAACCCATGGGCTCAGGCAATTCACGCACCTCAGCCTCCCAAGGTGCGGGATTACAGGCTGAGCCACTGAGCTCGGCTTATTTCTACATTTATGTTTCCTAAGAAGCTTTGCAGCCTGAATTTATTAAAACGCTTGTTGATTGCCTATTATGTGTCAGACATTGCGCTAGAAGCTTGGAAGAAAAACATGGAGGTTATGTTTCTAGAGAAGGGTAGTGACAGAAAATAAGTAAACAAAGTAAATCGCAGATTGGTGATATGAAAGAAACACTGATGTGATTGTTTTTTTGTTTTTTGTTTTTAAACAGAAGTTTGCCTAGGAGGTCCTTGCTGAGCAAATGTCTTTCCTTCCCCTCTAGTAAGTACTTTTTTTTTTTGAGTCGGAGTCTTCCTCTGTCACCCAGGCTGGAGTACAGTGACATGCTCACGGCCACCACAACCTCCAACTACTGGGCTCAGGTGATCCTTCTGCCTCAGCCTTCCAAGTAGCTGGAACCACAGGCATGTGCCACCATGCCCAGCTAATTTTTAAAAAATTTATTGTAGAGACGAGGTCTCACCAGGTTGCTCAGGCTGGTCTTGAACCCCTGAGCTCAGGCAATCCTCTCGCCTCGGCCTCCCAAAGTGCTGGGATTACAGGCTTGAGCTACCATGCCCAGAAGTAAGTACTTATAAGTGGCAAGAAAACAGACTCCTGTGAACTACCTTAAGTAGTGGAGGAAATTTACACAGTTTGGTGGTACTCTAGCCATTCATGTTTATTAGGGTGAAGGTTTAAAACAGAGTCTGATGCATAGTAAGTGCCCTATAAATGTTAACAAAGCTGGCTACATAGTTTGTGGGACCCAGTGCAAAACGAAAATTCAAGGCCTCTTGTTCAAAATGTATTAAGACTTTCAAGATGACAATAGCAGTGTACAAAGTCAAGTGTAGGGTTCTTCTGAGACTGGGACTCTTTAACTGCACATGTAGCATGTCCAGGGCCCTGAATGTTAGCAATTATTATGACTCATAATGCCTTGAGAAATAATAAGAACAAGTGAGGTACAAATATTTACTTACTGGAATTCCTGTCTGCCTCACACCTTTGATTTGTGTGTGTGTTTTAGGATCCCAGAACTCTGAAAAAGATGATGCTGGGAAACATAGAGACAAAGTGAACTCCTTTCTGCCAGTTGGGGCTTGAGTTGGGCAATTTACCAAACTATAAATCTGCTGACGGGGTGGGGAGAGGGCCATGAGAAGAGACATGAAGGAATTTTGGAAGTATAGCATTTCCTCACAAAAGTGCTGCTCAGTGGTAATGATAGAGTAGGGAGGTTAGGCTAGGGAGACGTCAGGGCTGTAGGAAAGCTCCCAACTCAACACCTGCTGCAGCCTCTGCAGAGCCACACTTGCAAGCAGCCTAGCCCAGGGAAAGTTACAATTTCACACCTACAGCTTAAACCATCACATCCTTATCGAAGAACACCTGCAGCAGCCAACTCGGGATGTTTGTGACTGGGAGCTGACCATCAGGGCAGGAACTAGTTTGGAGGACCTCCCCCCACCCTTTCCGCCGCCAGCATGTGCACTTACAGCCACCTGTTACCCTGACAGTGCCAGAATAACCTTATAGAGCTGAAAACTCCCCTACCCAATAGGAGGGAGGGGAAACAGAAACCCAGCCCCAAGACTACCCATTTCCAGGAAAAACTCACCCCAGAACCAGCTACTTTGCAGTAATAGGGGGGAAAAAAAACTCGGCATTAGCTAGGCATAGCAGCTTTTTGTAAGCTGACTGCTCTCTTGAGGGTGTACTACCATCCCTTTGCTTAATAAAGCCACCTGTCTGCCAAACTTCTCTCCGTATCTGTTTGTGAACTCTGTCTAAACAAGAGCACAAGAACCTGGTCATATTCAAAACCGGTAACAGATTTTGATAACTCTGCTGGGACTCAGAGAGGTAACTCAGGTGAGCTTTGGTTGGCTCTCTGGGGCTGGAGTGCCTTGCTTTGTCATGCTAATTTGTCACTGTCAGCTGGTTGTAAGCCCTTTCTTACTGCTTTCTCACCATCTTTTAACGTCTCTATCCCCCACGTGAGACTTATTGCACCTGTCCTTGTTGCCTTTGCATGTCTACTCGTGTACAAAGACCCCGTCTGGTCTCTCCTCAGGTTTATACATACTTATATCCTACCCATATAGGTCAAACAAGGTCAAACAAAGTCTCTAAACTGCTTTCTTCACCACTGTCTCCAAAAACGCCAGAGACCTGAAAACGCCTTACACTCCTCACTCAATGTTTCTTTTTCACTCTCCTCTTTGGCTGAGATCCTTTCCTTCCACAATCCTTGGACACTTGACTCCTCAAAACTGGAGTCCACAATTTCTGACTCCATGTTCTCTCCCACCAAGTTTCTGTCAACTTGGAAACGTCCCCAAGACTTTACGTGAAGGCCGATATTTCAGCCAAGTAATGAAGTTCTCTCCCAGCCCTCAGCAACGTAGGGACTTACCTCCCTGGCTGATTGCCATCATCCTGAGGCTGCACTTTTCACAGGGAGGAGCAATGGGATAGATTCCAAGACACCTCCCCACTTCCCTTTTCTGGACCCTCACCGTCTCTCGGATACACTCAGACATCACCTTTGTTTGCTGTCAAAGGATCTGGACTTAACATTCCACTCTGGGGTAAAGGCTACAGTCTTCCTACACTCCTCTGAGCATCTCTTCTCAGTAACAACATGAACCTACCCTGATTATAGCCCCAGGCAGGGGGTTAGAGCTGGGGAGGAGTCCTGGGGATAGCCAACCCAGGATATTACCTTCCCTTCAGTCTCCATGCCTGGGCGTGCAAGTCAAGTCATGCTTAGACCATGCACAAAGTATGGTTCGACTCAGATGACTCTTGCAAACAAGAAGCTAGCCTGGGGTTTTGTGCAATAAGCCTCCTTTCGTTCTTCTTTCTAGATATGGGAGCTGGCACCTCCATTCCTGTGAACACTCCACTAAGTTGTGTGTTAAAACATTGGGACAGTCTGTCACTAGAAAACCTTAAGAGAAAAAACATGATTTTGTCTTGTAACACAAACTGGCCTCAGTACAAACTGGAGGATGGAGAAGCTTGGGAAATTAATGGAAGCTTGAACTATAACACTATCCTTCAATTGAACCTCTTTAGTCAGAGGGTAAAGAAACAGGATGAAATCCAGTATGTTCTGGCCTTCATGGCCTTATATTCCAAAACCCAGATCTGCAGAAGAATTGCTGCCTGCATGTCACAGAGCCAAGACTAACGGCTGAACCTGATGCTCCAGATGACCTGCTCCTTGTATCTCCATCTAGGTGCCAGGCAGAGGCAGGGGTAATGGCAGTACCAGCCCCAAGAGTCTCAGTTTCTGCAGGGGATGCTCCCTGCAGATTCAGATTTCTTTTTATTTTATTATTTTATTTTTTTGAGTTGGAGTCTCACTCTGTCGCCCAGACTGGAG